TTTTTTTACTTTTGACCTAATGGCATATCTTTTAATTCTGCGATATAATCAGGAGTCTACTGTACATACGTATGATGTAGGTACACAGGCCATTTTGCTTTACTTATTAGTACTTACACACTACAGAATCATGTTTCTTATTGTCATGTAGAGGGTAGACAACATTAATGAAAAAATTAACAACTTCTTTTATTTAATTTGCTCATTTATTTAAATAAAAATTATTTCTGGCTACAATAAATTGTTCTTTGAGCAGTCCAGAAACATAGCTGCCTAGTTGTATTTTTTAACAGCACTAGTCTTCTGCTGAAATGCTAAGAGAAATGGAATGCAGTACAAAACCCGAGATCCAGACTAGGTAGGACTTCAATTCCAGTTTTGGAATTTCTCCAGATATTACATCATCAATTTAAATTTAGTAAGATAACATGCAGAAATTGAAAATTAAAAATATGAAATAATGGCTTTTGAAATAATGAAGCATTTATAACCTTAAGTTAATAAAAAAAATTTTTTTTTAAAGCTCAATATCTGTTTGCTTTATTAAACATTTCTTTCAATGTAAGTTATTTTGTTTTTTAAGCTAACACTTTCTCTTTAATTTTATAGACAAACTTCTTATTCAATTATAAACCTTGACTGTTCAAGTCTGGTAATTAACATGTTGAAAATTCCCACTAAATTGTCAATGGATATTCTTTCATTCTCAACAACCTTCCTGTCTCTTTCTTCGAACTCGGCAGCATTCTTTTTTGGATTTAGAACCATACTACAGATTTTGTCATCCATTTATTGACTGATGATTGAGGCGTTCTCATCGCAGTGAAAAACTTCTGATATATCATCATTTATTACCACTTCTCCACAAATCCCATTAATTGGAAAATTTTGCTTTATGTTTGTAATATCTAAAAACCTTCATATTCATGGCTATCATCATGAAGCTTAGCTAGTGTCTCATGAAGCTAGCTTAGCACTATTGACAATGTATCATGAGATTGGAGACTAAAGTCATGTTGTCCACTAAACTTTGCCTTGCTTCTATTGCAGACTGTTGAAGTTGAGCCTGTCCCTCACATGCTTAAGGCTTATCTCGAACAAATAAATTCCATCATAAACTTAGGCATATCTAGCCTCCCTAAATTCTAAAAATTTTTCCACCTCTAATTTTTTCATCTTAGTACCTTCCTTAAATTCTAAGGAAGCTTCTCAAGCTGCCACGGGTTGACAATCATGTGGTAATGAAAGCAAAGATTAATAAATAATGATTCCCCATAACAAGGCTGTAAATTATTCAGTAGGTGTAAAATCAAAGATTTTTTATGTAGAATGTTTCAATTTCAGATGTATGCCAAGGAAAAAAGTGGCTACAGAATCAATTATTAATCATATAAGATATGTATGCTAATATTTTTTTTCCTTCTTCAGTAAAGGTATTTTATTTAGTGCCAAAGTGAAATTAAGAATCATGTCACTCCAAATTTTATTACTGTTACGAATTTTGTACTATATAAATAATTATAGTGCAATTATATGTGAAATTGATGGATTTTTTCGGTGTGATGCAACATGACAAATTGAGAGGGAAGCTAAGCCGTAAAAGTAAGAATACAGGGGCAAGTCCATTTAGCATTGAGTAAATGGGTATCTTGGTATTTGGCAAGATATCGCCAAGCCGGCAAACGTTTTGGTGGCTAATTTTTGTCACCAGCAAACGTTTTGGCGACTAATTTTTGTCACCGCCAAACTTGGGAGATAGTTTAGCGACATCTTGGTCAGATCCCTGTATCACCATAACAGGTATCATAATTGACTAAGTATAACTGATTACTATATTAGCTGTAACCATAATTCGACCCTCATGTTGTATTCCAGTGATTTCGAAAAGCAGAAAGTACTAAAAATATCTCGGTGACTGGATGAAAACTGTGAAAACTAAACGGAAGGCCTGTGACAACATCTGCTCTCAATTGTTGTTGGTAGTTGAATGCGAGTTTCAAGTACGTAGCTCGCTCTTTTAACAAGCTACGTACTCGCTCTTCAGCTGCTCTTTGCAGTCTGTTGTCTTGAACATTCATAGTACTTAGAAGTGTAACTAATGATTGTACTCTGTGATATTATGAAGAGTGTTATGACTATTTTGTGTATGCATGTATTTTAGCACATTAGCCTTCCACCATCCATAATCAAAAGCTGCAATTTGTTTCTCATTAATCTGTTAAACTTGCTTGATGAAATAACACACGAAAGTCATGTATATGTTATTGAAATCTGCAGCTATTAAAGTCTGCATGTGTTTCTTGAAAAAATACATCACAATTTCACAGTACAATTTCTTAGCAGGTATAATAAAGATAAAAGATCAGGATTCCTTTAACAATTTCAACAAGCAGTACATGAAATTGATTTAGCAAATGCTACTGTTTCAATATTGCTTTGTGCTCATTGGCTGATGTGTACCAAATGGCCTGCTTCTTTGTTTAATGCCCTTTGGAGAACTGAATCATGACAATTTCAGCTACATCTACTTACACATGGATAAAATTACTGGTAGACTCAACTTTCTTTTTAAGACATGATTAATCAAAAGAAAAAGCAAACCATTTCAGATGTGAGAAATCACAGTTTGGGATCGAAATGACAAAATATTAAGACAAACTAAATACTAAAAGTCCTGAAAAATTTTATGAATAAAACAAGGTCAGGAGTCTACTGCCTAAATTGGGAGAACTGGCATGTCTGGTGTATGTACATGTTAAATCATATACATGAATATCTACTTAACTCCCTCTCTGCTTATATATATATGACTCTCTCTCTGTCTCTCTCTCTCTCTCTATATATATATATATGACTAGTACATGTCCCATTTTCAAAATTATCTTACATATGCTGTCTCAGAAGAAAATTCAAGATAAATTAATATTTAAAGTTAAATTTGAGCAATGCATTGCTTAAAGATGACTATAAATATATTTTTACAATTTAAAATATAAAAAATCAATTGAATTTTTTTAGATATATATTTAGCAAATCAATAAAAATAATTCGACTTCCACTTCATTTCAAGTCCATTACCTTAAGATTATTTTACCTACAATTAGTTCGTACATCTGCTTAAAAAGATCAGTACATATCCAAAGTTTACCTATGTCACTAATTATGTACTACCCCTTTTAGGCAGATTTACAAACTAATTAAGGGTAAAATAATCTCAAGGTAATGGACTTGACATGAAGTGGAAGACAAATTATTTTTATGGATTATCTAAAGGAAAAAACTTCTGCAATTAATTTTTATCATGAATATAACACACTAATAATTCATACTTAAAAATAATTAAAACTTCTTTGTTTAAAAAAATTAATTAGGTTACAAAATAAAGAGAAGAACATAAACCTTGAAAGGGATCACATTTTTCACATTTATATCTAAAAAATTTCAACTGATTTTTTTTTATATTTTAAATTGTAGAAATATGTTTACAGCCATCTTTATGCAATGCACTGCAGAAATTAAACTTTAAATATTAATTTAACTTAAATTTTCTTTCTTTTCTTCTGGGACAGCATATGTGAGCAAAATTTGGAATTAGGCCATATCTACTTTACAAAAAAAATTTTCTAAAATAGTAAGAGATCATCTTTAAATCTGATTCATTACTTTAAAATATAATAGGTTTCTTCATACAATTTTAGCATCTTCCTGGGATGGTTTAATCTACTTTACTAAATTATTAATTTAAATATTGATTATATATATGTATGAAAAAAGAATATGTAAAAGATTAAATTAGCAACGTAAATTTTCCTTCTCTATTCTAAAATAGTAACCCCTCTCTGCACTGCATCATTTCGAGACTATTCTATGTCATAGGATTCTTACGCAATTACGATGATGTAAATGGAACTAAAACTAAACCAGCCAATAGTAATTTTACAGCAATATTAACTATTCAATCAAAATGCTTTGAGAATCAAAACTAACTCTGTTTGACTTAAGATTTCATCCTGAACATTACGCACTTGCTTTCCACGCTTTGGCCTAGCTACACTGCTGTTTGTTTGCTGCTGCTTTCTTGATACAAAATTTTAAAAAAATGTAAGCCCTTTGGAATAGGCACGTTCAATGTGCTGACTTGTATGTAGAGCCGCATGTTGCTGAAAATAAAACTGAAGATTTAATCTGCATTCGCCTCCGATTTCCTACTCGTTATGGATCAACACTTCTAACCAGTCCAAATTCTTGCTCTTGAATATATTACATATATATACTATATATATGCCCACAGATTGCTGTACTTATTTATATGAAAATTCAGAAATACTGTTTCACCAAATGATAGTTTAGAACATCTACTCTAACTCTAGGTAACTAAAATAATACTTATTTTCGTTGCAAAATGTATGCTTTGTAAATAATTTAAATAACTTACACTTCCAAAAAATTAACATAAATAAAATAACACAAATACCTTAAAATATGATAAAACATATTTTTTATGTCTAACACCCCATCTTTCTACTGTACACATACATATGTTTGTCCATACAAATCTGAATTAAATGTACTATTTTGTTGTTACTGCAACAAAAGTAAGCAGTTGCATACTCAATACATGTATCACTTATACATTCTTATTTGCAAAGGATTAGCCTTTTCTACCTGCTGAAAAGTCACTTTTATACCATATGGCTTCTTGCAGTAGCAGGAAAGCCTTAAAATTATTATTTAAATATTCAGATTCCATTAAACATCTATGGAATAAAACAAAATAGACGATAATGTCTTTGGCATCACAAAATATAACACATATTTATGAAAAGGAACTATGTACTTAATATGGATTAATGTGTTTTGAGGAAATATGATTGTTACAAGCAAGTACACAAGACTAAGCTTGGAATTAAATATTTTAATAGCTGCATAATAAAAACCAACACCATATATAAATGTGTGTGTATATATATAAAAACCTCAGTCTAAAAAAATAAATAATGTAATATATAAATGCTTTATCACAATATAATGAAAATTTCAAAATTCAATAATAATCAGGCACCGGAGCACAGACCACCCTAACAAAGTCATCATAGTTGACATATCCATTGGGAGAAACGTTGGCTTCTCTGAAAATGCGATCCACTGTAATAAAACATTGATATTAGATGAATAAAGTAGCATCTGTAATCTTGTAAAATTAATAATATTTAGATAAATGACTAAAATCTCTACTCAATTAGTGAATAAAAATCCTGATTTATTCAACTTGTCTTTTATAAACACCAAACTTGTGAAGTGAAATACTGTCCTAAGAGAACTTAATGTCCAAAAAGATGAAAAGATGAAGCTTGTTTAAAAATAGCAAAGTATTAAAATGCATTAAAGTAATTTCAAAATAACATAGCACCTTACCTCTCCCCTCCCCAAGAATGTCACTTGTTCAAGGTGGTTTTATTATCATGGAAAAGAATAAACTACAGAACAATACAAGAAGAAAATGTTAGAAGCTTTAGTCATATTCTTTTTGCGAACCTCTATAACTGCACTTAGAACCTCTATAACTCAGCATCATAACCAACAGTGATTTTAAAGATAAGCCACAAAATAAACTATCCACAACGCACGTTTCACTGTAAAATGTGCTGGAGTTGCTGGATGGCAGACACAAAAATGCACACAGCACATTTTGAACTTCAAAGATATATAACAGAAACTATATAATAGAAACATGCCAAAAAGTGACATGAATATATATTCTAAATCATCATTTTAGTTCAAACAAAAAAAAAGGGCTCAGTTTTCAAGAAATGAGAGGTGCATATTATCTTTAAAAAGAATGATCAATTTGGGAAACTGTTCTACAAAACTTAAATTAAACAGTCAAAATTTTCAAAATCATGAAAGGTTAAATTGTAAAACATGTTATTTAAGCACACAGATAATTCATGTACATATTGAATAAAAAAGAAAACTAGCATATCCTCGGGGAATTTCATTTGCTTCATAATTGCCTTTAAGATTTTACTTGATTTAATACAGAATTAAATTTTTTAAATTATTTAGAATATGTATTGCACAAAAAATTTAAAAGCTATTTAGATATGAAATTGATAAAATGTATTACAGACAAAAGTCGTTAATCCGGACTCGTCGGGACTTCGGCGATTCCGGATTATAGATCATCAGTTTAAATCTCGTAAGATGGGATGCAGGAATTCTAAAATTAAAAATATGAAACCGTAATTTATGAAATAAAGAACAATTATGATCTAAAGGATATCAAAATTTACAAAAAAAAGCTTAATATTTATTTGTTTACTTTATTAAACATTTCTTTCAATGTAAGTCGTTTAAGTTGCTTCATTTTATGTGATAATACTTTCTCTTTAATTCTATAAACAGACATAATTTCTTTTCAGTTAAAGAGTTCCGATGTTCAAGTCCCGTTAATTGCTGTGTCGAGAATACCGACTAACTTGTCAATCGAAATTTTTTCGTTTTCACTAACCTCTCTGTCACATTCTTCATGTCTTTATCCATTTTTTTAAAGCAATTCACTTTTTTTTGTTGGACATTCGAAACATACTTTCGTTTTGTAGATCCTTTGGAAGTTCCAGCATCGGAAATTCTATTTGACATAATCGAAAGTTCAAGTTTACTTTTATAAAATTGCTCTTACAGTCTGCAAAAAAATAATAAGCGGGATCCAATTCGAAGATTAAGGAACAACGCAATCATCAACATTAACTGAAATAGATAATTTTTAGCTTATATACCGTCCGTTATACATTAAACGCGCACGCGAAAACGTATTCTGCGTTTGCGCACACGCATATATGCGCAGTCGTAAAGGTCTTACGTGCACGCGCGTAAACGCCTATGCGCATGTGTCAACGAGGCGCATGCGCAGAAAGTTTTTGGCTTTGAGGTCCGGATCATAGATCATTCCGAATTATGGGTTACGAATTAACGACTTTTGACTGTACCAATCTTCAAACATTATCACTATGTGTTCCTTGACAAGTAAAATTTAATATATTGAAATGCCAAAAAACTGGTACTCTTGCTTTAATACTTCCAAAGGACTGACATGCTCATGGAATGACATTTTTACAGAGAAATGCATTCCATGAGCATGTGATTTGGTTTATTTAATTATGGCAAAGCACACTAGGGCTATCTGCCTAAGGGAAGGGATGCCTTCGTGGAGGACTTTCTAAGGAAAACTGGCTTGTATGTGTGCTTACACATGGGGAAAACCACAAAAACGCCCATGCAGCCAGCCCGTTCGTGGGATTTGAACCTCGGACCGAACTACCAGTGTTCAGCAACTTTACTACTCGGCCACTGGTGGGCCTCCATGAGCATGTGAAAAAAGTATTCTGCAGCCAATGAACACCCTACTTCTCTGCAAAAATACAGTCCTGCCCTTTTCTTAATGTTAAACATATGATTTCTCTGTTTTACAGAAATTTTATGTATGTTACATGATATTCTAGATATGTTCTATAACGAGATGTGGTAGTTTAAATAACCAGCGCAAAATGTCAAACTCAGAAAAATGTTTTTCTAAACATAATTTGTTAGCTCTAAACTTGTGTGGTTCCATATGGTCTGTTAGAAAAGGTAAACAAATCCAAATGAAGGTATGACACAAGTGGTCATTTCACTAGAAAAGCTGCCCACAGAGTTCACCTATCAGAGATGTAAATTTTCTAATGAAGGCTAGTTAAACTCCATATTATCAGAGCCACTGCAGCCTGGAATCTGTGGTTTCATAGGCTTTTCTTCATACAAATTCTTTCATCTGCCCATCACAGTTGAAAACATAACCAGTCACACTATTCACTTCCAATGTACAAAGTTTAAACTTCCTGAACCCAAACAGAATGCAGTTCTGTTTTGTGCACTATTCATAAATATTAGACACTATAAGATAATAATATATATTAAATACTTCACACACTTTAAATATGAGACACTATAAGATATAACAATCTACAGATGGTAAACACACATACAGACAAAATTATGCAACCCCATAAAGAATCAGATTACTGATTATAAATATAGGAGCAGTCTGTGGCATCCCACACCACAACATTTCCCCATGTTTACTCAAGAATTATCCATATCACAACAGAAGCAGAACTCATCATTGAAAACTACACATCACCATTCAGTCTCTAATCATGCTTAGTTTCACACCAACAGAATCCATTCATACAGATTTGTAGAATGAGCAGCACACATCAAATTGGATGTTTTAGTTATATGATATCCACATGGGAACCATAACAGTGATGATACAATAAATATCAACATAAAGAACTCTGTACATTTCCTAAGATATCCAGAGAGGTGAAACAAAACATAACAACTGTTGTGCAAGCAACGTGAAAATCCTCAGTCGTGGACGACATGGCCTGTTGAGGCATTAAAATGGTAAAAATAAACAATCAGAAATTTGTAATAAATACTGAAAGAAAAAAATATTTTATAGAAGAGCCCAATCACTAGAGATACCTAGTATTTGAAAACATAAGATAGCCAAGTTGTGTTATCCAGATTTTCTATGCAAACAATTTAAGTTTGCCTCACTTGTCTTTGAAGAGTGGTTACATTACTTTTGACAACATGTGTATTTTGAAATCATTCAAATAAAAATCTAACTAAAAAAGGAATTTAATGCATAGACTTAAAGAGTTTTTAATTTAAGCTGCGAACCCATAAAAGTCATGTATATTAAAATGTTAACAATTATTAAGTTATACTATTAAATTATACTTTCTTTATTTACTCGTTTTTGGCATTTAATCTAAACTTCACAAATCTCCTCTACACCATATTATTCTACAAACCACTGCTCAACAATGAATGAAACAAATGAAATTATTCATTAAGCAGACTTTAGATAGCTCATTTCAGAAATCAAAGATATGTAGTAAAAGGGAAAAAAAAGATTCTATTTTATGCTATAAATACAAAATTTTAACCAATTATAAGATAAAATTCATTTTAAATAATCAAAGTATTAGTATATCATTTAAGTTTTTTCTAGTGGGTTTTCATATATCAATGAGGAAATAGACTTAAATTCTTTAATGTAGCCATGAAGAACATTGGAATAATAATTTCAGTGTCCTTCCAAAGATATATGGAGTATATCCATGAGTATAGAAAGCAAGAAAAATCTGGACAGCAAATAAAAATTCACAAAGCCTGAATTATCCAGTGGGCACAGGGACATAAGTTTGTTTTTGGCAACTGATGAATTGTGCGACGGAATATTTTACAGCTTCAAAAGTCATTACAAAATGGGGGATACTTTTCAAATTTCATTATCAGATCAATCCCACTTCTATCTTTTAGGCACAAATTATATATTTGAGAATAAAAATGTGAGTTACCCTCTTTGGGACTCAGCTTTTCTCCCCATAACAGAAGTATGTGCCGCAACTCCCGTGCAGGTATACGACCAGATTTGCTTTTGTCACTAGCACGGAATGCACGCAGGATTTCTTGAGGAATATTTTCTTTCTGGCTATGATTATGCATTATCTCAAGCATATCAGCAAATGATATCTTTCCATCTGCAATTAAGTGTATATATATCAACGTTGAAAATAATAGCATGGAATGATAATAAAGGTGTAAGCTCAACACCAAAAATTTTGAATAAAATTTTTATCACAATTATTTTTTAAATTTCTAAACTGCATCTTTTCAGCAATGTTAACTATACTTATAAAAAAAAAAACTAATAGTTAAGTAGTAGTTATGATGAGATACAAAATAATTATTGGATTAAAAAAACAAGATTTTGGGTAGAGATTCTACAGTCCCACAGAATTAAAAATCTTTTTACAAAATTGAAATTTAATCCCAAAAATCTAACAAACAGAAAATGTATTTTCTATATTTAAAAACATGATAAACAAGAATTAAACATCCATTATAAGTTTAAAAATTTTATCACTTTTTTTTTTTTTACTATTATTCTGGTTATGTCTTATGGACAGAGCAACACCTGCATACAAGAATATTTTTCATAAAAGAATAATTTAAAATGTATTCATACTTGATTTTATGCAAATTCATGCTCTGATATAACTGAATTTTATGATCACTGCAAAAGTAGTTTAATCAATTTTAATGAAATTTTCTTTTAAGCAATATTTTCTTTTTTTAATTTTGTGTTAGTTGCTTTTGCATATATTTTAATTTGTCAAAAAAAAGGTGCAATTAGTAAAATACACATGTTTATATTTTATACAAGAATAAGTCACTCATTCTGTTCCTCAAAGTAATACTCAAATTCAAAAATATAAATAGCCTGCTAACCAGATTATTCTCACACATAAAAATTTACTTAAATGTCTTTTAAATGTGAATGGCTTGAAATGTAAAATTTAAAGAACCTAATAAAACTATTATTTCTACTTCTTATGTTTATTACAGAATACCAAACCATCTAAATATTGAATGAAAACGTAAAATACGTAACTTTTTATCATCAATTTAAAATGGAATCGGAGACATTTGAAATTTATGATACGTAGAGGTGCAATTTATGAAAATGCCTCTCAATTTTTTTTTCACATACTTCTCGAATAGTTCCTTGTAGATAGTCCAAAGGATTGCACACACCTCCTTTCATTTCAGAATAAATGGGTTATATATGTTAAATTTTCTATAAACTGGACATGCTTGATAAAAGTGACTATAATTAGCAAAAAATTAAAGAAGTTGTCATATCTGACTTTGGAAAATAAAAGATAGAATAAAATAGTCCTTTACAAAGTTGCTCAGCATCATTCCAATTATTATGATTCAACATCCAGTTTACATATACGATTAATTTTTTTTAATGATCTCTGATGGTGTACAACTGAAAACTTGATTTTTGGAATTTTTTAACCCAAAATGTTATCATTAACGCGCATTAGATTTTACTGCAAAATTTATTCAAACTAGTATTTTGAATTTTTTGTGTGTATCATCTTGCATTTCATGTAATGCTGTCCATCAGCAAAATTATTCAAAAAAAAAAGAATTCCAAATAAGTATAAGACAAAACCCAGTTTACTATTTCAGAGTGTATTTCAAAATATCAGTTAAAAATACATATTCTGTACTCAGTGGTATTAACATATTATAAATTATAAATTGGGAGGACGTCCAACAGGTTTGGATTAAAGACTTTGTACTGTATATAAAAAATACGTGCATAAAATATGTTTTAATAATTGCCAAAGAGAAAAAGCTCAATGTGTGATTATAAAAGTTTCACAATACTTGCAAGGCAATGTACCCAAATAGGATCTTTAACTAAATCTGCATTGATATTAATGGAGGAAAACAATTTTCAGAATAATTCACACATATTACGGTTATGTGAAGAAGTCCTGTTCTATAAAGATTTTTTTAAAAAAATGCGATATATTGATGGAATTAAAGTGAAAAATTTGCAGCATATTGATTTTAGTTTTTATAGTACCTGACTACGCTTTTCTATCTACCAGTAACATATAGAGTAAATTCTAATAATGAAAAGGGATTTCAGCCATTTTTTTTTTTTTTTCATGTTTATGAGAATGTATTTTTTTTTTAAAATTAAAAAACTAAATACATATTTTTCAACAAAAATATTGTACTTTAATATAATTAGTAATAACTATCCAATAGACCCTCAAAATTTATTTAATTTTAGATTCAAAAACAAAAGAATGCAAATAAAATCCTAACTCACTTTTTTCTTTGAAATATTTTTTCAATTCTGTTATAGTGGGGCTCATTCCCAAAGATCGCATGATGATTGTTAACTCATCCAAACTTCGTATTTGGCCACTTCTGGCATTCAAGTAAAAGCAATCACGAAATTCTGAAAAGATTTTAAAAGAGTTAACTTCCTATTATGAGAAAGGAAACCTTATACTTCATTCCAGATCAAATGAAAACCTTCCCATGCTACGTGCAAAAACCTACATGTACTTAAGGAATATTCTGGAAATTAACTAATGAATAAACTTTTCATTCTTCAGACTCTAAGGAAAAATTTAAAATCTAATTTTAGTACTATCTGCCAGTTAACAATGAACAGCACCAAAAGAACCCTTAGTCGTTAAATACAGATGATCTATAGAATACTCTCCATTATTAAATAATGAAAATATGTATGTATGTACGCATATTCCTCAGAGTGCGAAAAAACTGGCACACAGCCACCAAATTTTGAACACACGCAGTCCTCTACATTTCATATTTTGTACAAAATTAATTCAATTCTGATTAATTCAATTCTGATTAACAAAATCAGCAATTTAAAAGCAATGTGTTGCCACTAAGTGACAGATATTTATGTTTCAAATTTAATATGGAATCTCGGTGACTTAAAATGTGTTGCAACTCGGGGAAGGGTAACACATTTGCCTTTCAAATTTAATCCACAAATTCTGCTGCTGAAAAAAAATGTATTGCCACTGACTGACACAAATATTTTAATCTTCGACGTCGTTTGGCAAAGTGCAAGATATTTAATCTTGTCTTTCAAATTTAATCTGTCTGTTACAGATTAACAAACTAAGCAAACATAGTTCTTAATCTCTCTTATTAAGCTAGACTTAGTAGCTAGTACCTAGCTGAACCCATTAAAAATACTTTTTAAAATAAGTGTTACAGGTTGCTAGTGTTTTACAAAAAGCAAACAAACGCATTTTGTGGTACAGGAGTTTCCTCTTCAACTTTTACTTAAATATGTTAAAATCATCATAAATTAGCACTCATTTCTTCTACAATAAAGAAATAAGTTGCATCACTACTATGATGCATCTTCTTAAACTGATAATTTCTTAAAATGATAAGATGGCGCAGAATTCTAATATATAATGTTTACTGGCTAGAAAAAATGGCTCTCATATGTTCACCAGCATAAAATGTAAATATATTATAAAAGAATATATTATATTCTCCTAGAGCTTCAGACTTGTTTCATGCCACTGATTAATTTGCATAATATATTAAAAAATCTGTACAGAAAATTCTCTCTAGATATCATAAACAACTGAATGAAATATACTAGGAAGAGGAAATAACAAAGACAAAAGTAAGTTAGCACATAAATTCGTGACAAAACCAGTAAAAAATTATAAGTGCTATACTTTAAAAGTACCTAACTGGCTCTGTGTTCTATTACTTCATTTTAAAAAATGGACATTTTGAATTTACATGCTTAAATTTACAAAATGAAAATCGAGTAAATTTGCTTAAATATTCGACTTTTTTAATGCACATAAAAATGTTTCATGCTAATGGCCAAATACCGAAACATTAACAAGCTTTTACAAAATTATTACAAAATTGCTAAATGCCAGAAATTTTTCAGGGCGATTCAAAAGAGCAAACAAACAAAAAAATTAATAATAAACTCATAAATGATTCTATGTATTTTAATTTAATATTAATTTATAAAAAATGTACCAAAAAATATATAGATATACTTTAAACTAAAATACAGAATATTTATTTTTAAATTTTTTTCAAATTAAATAAGATGTTCTTTTAATTTCTACTGGAAATTTTAAGAAATAAAAGGCTTTATATGACAGCTGCTTAATTTTTAATATGCGCAATGCTTAATATGGCTTTGTAAGCAATATTTTTAAAGTCATCTGCATTTAAGAATATCACATATAGCATAATGAAAATTAAGAACTCTCGTGCCTCACTTAAATGGCTGAGACCACACGCATTCTACTTTTAATAGCTATTTTACTTTTAACTTACAAGCTAAGAAACAATCAATTTTCTCAAATGTAATAAAGATGTAGATCCAAGTAAATGACAGAAAATCTAAGAAAATCCTACGAACTGATTTTCCTAAAAAACATGCGGCTCATGAAGAAAAAAAGACCTGATGCACATTTAAAGAATCCTTCAAGAATAAAATGAGAATATTTTTTAACAGATTACTTCAATCTTAAATTGTTAATTTGACCAAGTATAAAAAACAAAAACATTCACTATTCTGAACAAAAAATTATGCAGCCATAAAATACTAAATAAAAGTGAAATATGGTCTTAAATTTAAATTTCGTTCAATAAATTTCAGTTGCATTATCAAAACAAATTCCTGCAATTGATATGTTCTGAGTATTTTGTGATACCAAAGACATGATGATCCTACTATTTTCTACTACATTAATATTACATGAAAAAATTTAATTACTATTACCATAAAACAGAATGTAAACAATACACATAACTTGAATTAGTATAATGTACGTATACATTTTTTTTAATATTTGAATGTTATATATAAATGAAATATTTTACATATTTATGTTCATATGAGAAACAGTAAACTACCAAATATGCATTTAAATAAAAAAGGAGTACCAAAATAATGCATGCAAAAAAGCAGACATGTATAATATATATATTAAATTTAACCCATATAATTGCTTCTTCTTTTTCTTCTTTCCTCTTTAATTCTCCTGGTTTCTTTACATACTTCCGATTTTCCTTTTGTTCCATTAGCGATCAAGATCAATGATATTCGAAGTAATTATTCCAGCCTAGATACACTTATACATCCACTGACAATACTATCAGAAGCTTAGTAGACAATTAATAGTACAGAACAGTGTATATCAATTAATAAAGTTACTTAATAATTGATTTGATTACTCTTCTCGGTTTCTAATACGATTGTATTCTTGCCAAATTCTACCGAGTCTACTTCCAGCTTCCAAGTAATGTATTTCTCCATTCATTTTCATGATAGATACGTAGTGCAGAATGAAAAAAAGCAATATAAAAACCATGCCAAAGAAGAAATATAAATACTTTGCTTACTTCAGTAAATGGGAATAATGACCATTTTTATATATTAAAACCAATATCGGAAATATTTCAACAATTCACTTATTCACTTATTTTTAAAAATTATGATTTCAGTAATAAATGAATTCTTCGTGAAATTTAGTGTTTAAATATATGAATAAAAAAAATTAAATCCTTAAAAACAATACATTTTTATAATAATTAAGAATGTTTTTTAAAGTAACAATCATCAGTGCTTAACCTCATGAGCTTGTATTTCATTTTGACCCCCCCCTTTTTTTGGTAAAGCAAAGATATTTACTTTAATGATGATATACATATATGTCAAAACATAACTCAGCCCAAATTGTCACAAAATTAAAGCATTCTCAACCTAGAGCTTTGTATATTGTATGCAATATTTAAGTTTGTACATACAACTAAAATTATTCAAGATAATGCTACTTTGGAGAGTTTAGCAAATAGTAAAAAAAAAAAAAAAAATTAGTTTGTAACTAGCAGCTGCAGAGGTCATAAGAACATTTGAATCAATAGCAACATAACATCTGCATGCTTGAAAGATTTTTGCTCTAAAATTATAAAAACGGCCTTCTTATTTATTACCAACTTGAATATCAAATATATATTGAATGTAAAATTATACAAGATTTGGGGGGGAAAAAAGTATTTCAGCCATAAAAGCTGACGTATTTCGTGAAAGTAAAACATTTGATCTGATTATGAAATCTCATAGAACACGAAAGTTAGGGTAGATGTTGCCAATCATTCAGGCAGAAGTTTAAACAAACAGATCATTCTTTATTTAACTTATTATTATTCTTTATTTCAAATCATAAATCGATATAAATTACAGATGTAGGATATAAAAAACTTAAACTGTTTATCATAATTTCACATTACATTAGTTTCAAATTTATCCATTTTCAATATCGTGTACTGCAGACTTTTTTTATGCCTGATCCTGTAACTCTGAAAGTATTCTACTTCATACAGTTCTAAACAATAATCATTTTTTCAAAATTAAGTTAAAAAATAAAACATATATCCTTATTTACAAATATTAAACTGTCTCATTGAGAACTAATAAAATTTACATTAAACCAAACAAATCTGTTATGACCGTGTTGTGATGTCATGCTGTTTGGCAAAAATGTCCATATGTTAATAGTATTGACTAGCTCTACACATCTCTTGTTTACTACGTTTCTTAGGGAAAAAATTTTGGTTAGTGTATATTTTAGGGTACCCCTTGGATTATCACCAAGTTGTTGTTTCATTTATGGTAACCTGAATGGTTGAATGGCTGCCTGCATTAAGTTAATCTGAAGTTTCTGTACGATTTGGAATGAATGGGAAAAGAAGCATTTATTGAATTGCTGTGCAAATGAAGGTTTACTCAATAATCATTATAAGTGTCCTGCTTGTAGAAAATGCGTATGGTTGAATGTAAAGATGACTTTGAATGGGTTCATTGCAAGAAAGCTCACTCTTCAAATGCTCACTCTATAAAGCATTCCATTAGAAAGGGATAATGGTTTGAAGAGAAGCATTTGAGTATTATTGGGATTTTGGTTTTAACATACATGCGAGTGTATGAAGCTAAAACTAAAATTAAGACAGAATTAAATTTGATTCTTATTTTTGCAAATTTATGTGGCAACGGCAATATATAGATTCTAGTTCAGATAATTTTAGACAGCTTTGGGATGCTGTTAAGGAATTCTGTGCGTCACACATATCAAAGAAACACAAATTTTTAAATAAGGTAAGTCAATATTTTCTTTTTGTACTGTGTAGATTAGATAACAGGTTTTCCATTTTTATGTTATTTCCTTTGATTTAAAATGCAGCTTACTGAGATTATACATTTTTGTTTTAATTATATTTTAAATGCCAATTTATTGGGGTGGGCGTTGAACGTAAATAGGAATGGCACCAAAAAATTGTCAATTTTCGCCAAGGGGTACCTTGAAATATATTTTTACCAAAATTTTTTCTAAAATTCTAAAATATTCCAGTTAGTTGAATGCGGGATAGTCAGATTTTTACTGTATATGAGAGAAAATGTTAAAATAAAGTATTTTTGTTGTTAGATAATGATTTTAATCCAACATAGCTAGTGTGCTGTTCTTTTGATGTGCAATTCTCTGATGTTTCTTTAAGTGAAAACAGATAACTGTGCACACGGGGAATGCAGAATTTAAGCAATACACAAATTTGTATTATGCACAGTGTTTTCATTATACACATTACACAATATATATATGTAAAACATAAAATCTAGCTTTCAAATAATAAATAGTTTTAAGAACAACAATTTTCAAAAGTGACACTATCTGTTACACTAGATATAATATAACTGCTTGCTGTTTACATTAAGGAATATGAATTATGTTTTTTTTTTTTTTTCTCTGTTGATGATTCTCCTTAAAATTGGGATGGAACAGGGTAAATTCATACTATTACGTATAAAGTACAAAACGTTCATGCCAGTGACAGATGTCATCCTGCACTCCTAGTTATGATAAAATTCACGCATTTCCTCTGATGTTACAATCAGACAAGTCATATAAGTCATAATATTATTTCTATTGAAAACAAGGTATGAAATATTCTTTCATGTCTTACAAAGAACACATTTTTAGTCAAGAAAATATTGCTTAAGTGAAGTATTTGGTATACATTGAGTTTGGCAATTTTAGATGATATCCGCCAAATTTTTTTTTTTCCTCAGATGAATGGAATTGTGAGATATTTCCCCCTCGGTCACATGTACTCCATTTTTAATTGCTACTTGTCATTTTAGAAATGACTTAAAAATGACTTCTACTATTTAAAATTTTTTAAACAGCGAAAAAAGAATCTGCCTTTTACAGTGGAACCTCAAGATACGAGCACCTCTATATATGAGAAATTTGAGATACGAGGAAGGTATAAGCAAAACGTTTGTCTCTAAATACGAGCATTGACTCCAGTAATGAGCAATAATCCAGGTCGTAGGTATGCATGGTGGGATTTCCCGATCCCACTATGCATACCAACGGCCTGGCTTATTGCTCGTTAACTTGGGGAATTCCCTCGTCAGATAACGCAGTGTTCTTTGATCTACGTGTTTGTGCACTTCTGAATCAATTGTTTATTATGTTTAACGGGAAAATAATTATTTCATGATGCCTCTCAAGAAGATTGTTGTCTCAGAGAGTGCTGCAAAGAAAAATAAGGAAGCCATGGCCATTGAAAATGAGAAAAAAATCATACATAAACAAGCATGGTGTAAGAGTCACGGAATTGGCAAAGACTAATGACCTTTCGACATCAACAATTTGCACTATTCTGAAGAAGCAGGAAGTTTTTAAGTAACTTCTAAGCACTGTCCAAAACTCTTAGAAGATGTTGAGAAGCTGCTGTTGGTGTGGATTAACGAGAAGCAATTAAAATGTCGGTGTCAGAAGCTATCACAAAGGTAAACTACGGTTATTTATTTACCAGTGTTATTTATTAGAAAAATTGATTTTTATGTTGACATTTTTGGGGTGAAAAACAGATTAAATGGGTTTCCATTATTATCAGTGGCGACGTTTGTTTCTAGATACTAGAAATTCGCTATACGAGCTCAATGCTGGAACAAATTAAACTTGTATCTTGAGGTTTCACTGTATTTACATTATGTTGCAGTTTCAATTGTTCTTGGATGATCATGATCATAACAGCACACAGTGTCAACACTATGCTAATGCCTTTTTTTTTTTTTTCTAGATCACTGTGAACATTTGGAGAACAGCATAAAAAATTACAGTATTTCTCGAAAAAGTACAAATTGCCAAGGTTGTGCATGACGGTGAATTTGTGTAATGCTTTTGACCTTTTACCAAAACCCGATTGTTCTGTACACAGGAAGAAACCATGTACACAGCATAACCTTATTTAACAATTAAAATTTATATTTTAAATTTCTAACTTTTTTGAAACATTGATAATTTGACAAAAATGACGAAATTGCCAACTTACAATAAATAACTCTTAACTTTTATAAAAATATTAAATAGACACTTTAAAAAAAAAAAAGAAAAGAAAAATCTTATTTCATATTTTCATATCGATTTAAAATAGCTTTTAGAAATTATCAACTAAGCAGAAAATTTCTCTTTCTCTGAAGATTCAACTAATATAATTTTACTTTAGGAAAATATATAATCAATGAATAAATCCATTTTATGTTGTTATGTATATTTTTAGTTATTAAATTATATGCTATTTAAAAGCATAGAACTCAAAATACTAAATGTCCCTAAAACGAAACTGTTTGCCGAATTAAAACACTTCCTGTGTTTTAGTTTGGAACATACCTGGAAGAAGCACGAATATTTATATTTTACAAAAACCAAATAGCTCAATATCCACCGATTCCACAAATTAAACATTTTCCAATCTGTAAAAATGTTGAAAAATTATAATTCCCTAGAAATTTGACAAACTTATTCCTTAACAAAAATGTTCCACTTACCATCAATGTCCTGCTCTCTGAAAAAACGAGCCTGTAAATACAGCAATATTTAGATAAGTAAGCATGAAAACATTTAAAATTAGAAAAATACGAAACAATTTACGATATTTAAATTAGTCCAACAATAAATATTTATAATATGACTTCTGTCATCTCCAATTTAAAATAACAGAACAGATGATTACTTTGAAAATACATATCGCCATTTAATTACGTTTACAATAAAATAAATTTCAGATTTAAATCTTTCTGTATTATTCATATCTTTAAAAAAATCAGTGAAATATATCTATACTCAGACAATTACCATTTTCGGTTACTTATCCAAATACAACAGACCGCTGACTTATAGCAAAAAAATACAAGAAAAAAAATGTATTCAGTTTCGATTGCAGTTAAACAGTTAGAAATCACTCGAAAATTAGTTTTCGTTTGCCGTTTCTAATTAATGGAAATAGAAATTGAAAAAGAAGCATAATCAGACTTCAAGGTTATATTGTAATATTATGACCTCTGAGTTTTATTAAAAAACTCAGAGCTCATAATATTACATATAGAGTACGAGATAGAGTAAGAGCTCATATAGAGTAAGAGCTCAGTGGTCAAAGTGGGAAAAGTATATCTAATTGAGATTGGTAAGGTTACTCCGTGAAGCTACGCGTAAATTAATATTATTCGGCGTATAATCGAATTCGGCGTATTCGAATTAATAATTGAAAATATAACGCTGATTTTTGTTGTATGACTTCTGAATTAGGACGCGTAAATGTTGGCCAGAAATTTAAAGTATGAGAAAGAATAACACCTTCGTGAAAGGAATGCTACTTTATAGTGGCTACTGGCCATTGCTACATGTACTTCCTATGGTAGAATAGCTATTAAAATAAACAAACAAGAGTGGAAATTCTCAAATAAGAACACATATAATTATTCCAATCAGGCAGTTTTACAGCTATACGTGTGTTAATAGAATATTCCCTACATGAACCGGTAGAATCTGTCAGAAAAGAAATACGCGAACCTGATAGCCAGCGCAGGTTATCATCTTTCCTTGCAACATGATTTCGGTACTTCGGTAATAGCAAATACAATTTTTCAGAAGGGATGATGCTTTGTCTTGGGAGAATTGTTGCGACCATCTTCACACAGAAATCGGCATTTTCAAAAGAAAGGGCAGATGAAACTTGAAGAGGGGAAAGTACTGGATCCATGTTCATTCTTCCCTTTTATTCGCATGTTATTGCATAGTTACTCGAGAGGTAAAATATAAAGGTTACCCTATTTGGCCCTTAGCGAACCATTCCAACTAGACCCTGTCTTCCGAAAAGTACCTATAAAGATAGAGACAAACAAAAATTACATTGATATTGATTTTATCAATTAAATCTCACATTAATATTGACTTTTTCAATTGTAAATTTTATAGGAGCACTCTAAGTATTCAGAAAGCAAATAACATGTCAAGCAATTACGAGGAATATATTTGACCCTTGAAAGAAAGGGACCCGCATTATTCTTCCTGAGATGCATAATCCCAGGGATAAATAGAAAGGGCTAGCTCATTTCTTTGTTCGACTCTGCTTAAATGCTAATTGCTTATGCTTATATTAGCCCAGTTGGGCTTTAATAAGCTATATTGATCTAATCCCCTAAGGACAATCAGAATGTCAACTATCAGCTAGTTCCCAGCCAGGAAATCGGAGCGGGTAAGGAAAAGAGGGCCCATCGGCCATAGTGACAAAGTCCAATCTTCAAAGTAACTTAACTCTTACCCCTGAGACAAGAGTAATAATCACGTGTATGGAGCTATGAAGATGCAAAAGAAATGAAAATACATGAAATGTGCATAGGATACAGTGTTGAACATGTAATAAACAAATGAAAGTGAAGTAATGTACGCATAAAAATGTGTTATTTACATATTTGAAAACGAGTGGGCTAAGTGACAAAATTGTGATCCCTCATTCTGTGAGCCGTAAAAGGCCTGATATTGTAGTCCTCAGGAATGCAGACATAGTTCAGTACAGCATTAAAGTTTCCTTTACTGCAATTCAAAGCCTTTGTCAAAGAACTTGCTGTTAAGTTTTTGCAGATATTTGTCAATATATTCAACTTGTAAATCATCGTGCAGGAGTTTGTTACGGATGTAAAAATGCGCTCCTGTCATGGTGCGTAAGATTGTGTTTTGAGTCACCTGCAATTTGTTGATATCTGAGCTCGTAGCAGTCGCCCAGACAGGGGACGCATAACACATAATTGGTCTTAAAATGGAAATATAAATCTGTCTTTTCCTTCTCAGATCTAACTGCGAGCTGCGCCCTAGCAGTACTTGTAATTGTTGAGCAATTCCTCTGGTCTTGTTTGCAATGTAATTGACATGCGTACTCCACGTGAGTCTTCGATTCAAGTAAACACCTAAATACTTGGCCTTGTTTACCATCGGGACACGTTGGCCGAATAGGTAAAGTGGCTGAACTGAGACCAGTATTTTCTTCCTTCTAACAAGAAGTAGCTGTGATTTAGTCGCATTGATGGAAATCTTCCACCTGGAGCACCACTCCTCAATGTCCATAATTATATCCTGCATAACAGAAATTGCCCTGTTAGGCTGAATAGATCTGACCGCTACAGCGGTGTCATCCGCATAGCAGGCCAGCAATGTATTTCTGTTGAGTTTATCCCGCGGGAAATCAGCCGCATAGAAAAGATAGAGTACTGGGCCAAGACAGGACCCCTGGGGGACGCCTGCAGCGATAGTTTTGTATCCAGAATGACTTTGCTTGCAGCTAACTGTAAAGTAACGATTTGCAATATAAGATCTGGTGAGTAAGATCAGTTCTCTAGGCAAATTCATCATTATCAATTTATATATTAAGCCCTCATGCCAGACACGGTCAAATGCTTTGGCCACGTCCAGCATGAGCACTGCAGTACAACTCTTATGATGCAGAGCAGAGCCGATAAATTCCACAAGCCTAATCAGTTGTTTAGATGTGCAAAGTTCGCTCCTAAATCCATACTGATCTTCCGGAAGTACCTGTAAATAAGGCTGGAATTTCCTTAAAATTATTCGTTCAAAGATCTTGCCTATATTAGAGAGCAAGCTTATGGGCCTGTGATTTTCCGCCTTAGTGATGTCTTTTGCAGGCTTCGGTAGTAGGAAAACTTTTGCGTACTTCCAGCAGTCCGGGAAGTAGCATAACGTAATGCATATATTAAAAATGCTGGAAAGTCTTGTGATTCCACCGCGCGGGAGGTTCCTGATCATTAAATTTGTAACTCCATCAATACCCTGGGGCTTTCTTGGGGTTCAATTTGGAGATAATATCCGTAACTTCTCTTGGATTAGTTAAACCATCGGCATTTAGAGCCGTGGGAGCACCTAGCCATTCTTCTACTTTCATTCTGACTTGGGTCTCAAAGTGAATATTACGAGGTGTCTGATTGGGAGAAAACTGCTTTTCAAGATGTGAAGCAAAAATCTGACATTTGTCAGTATCTGAATAAGCAGTGACGCCGTTGTCAATAATTGGCCTATCACACTGATGCGTCCTCTTTAACATTTTTGTAAACTGCCAGAAGGCATCACTGTCTAAGTTTAACTCCTCCATTTTAACATTCCAAGCCTCACACTTTAATTTATGCATTTCAAGCTTAATATGCTTACTGATCCTATTTAACTCCGTTTTAATAATTGGGTCCCAGGTGATATTATACCTCCTTCGCAGCCTGTTTCTTTCGGCTATGAGAGATTTGACGTACCTTGGAATCTTAGCGATTTTACAAGACCTTTGAGTAACCTTGGTGGCCTCATAGTAAGAGTCATTAAGACATGTAGTAAACTTATCAATCTCCTTGTCAATATCAGAAGGGCTTTTCATAGCACCTAATTTAGGGAGCCTCACTTTCACAACATTGTGGTACATTCTCCAGTCGGTATGGGTCTTAACATTCGTATAATTAATACTGGTGACCCCTAGTGTAGCAATCACAGGAGTATGATCAGAGCTTAAGTCGTCTCGAACCTCCAGCACCATATTAATTCCTGTATTAGTCAAGATGATATCTAGAATATCAGGAGTGTACCTGATGTTGCTGGGCCTGAACGTCGGCACGTCAGGCGCAAATATACCAACTGGGTGGTTACTGATATACTCTCTCAGTACTTTACCATTGTGATTGGTGCTGCGGCAGCCCCAATCTTTATGCTTACTATTGAGGTCGCCACCAACAATCATTATTGAGGAATCCGGAATAATATTTTGTAACATTTCCTCAGTTAGCCTATTAGTAGGGGGGTTGTAGATTGCCGCAAATAAGGTATCTCCAATCTTAGGCAAGCTAATAGAGGCAATCACAATTTCATAGCCCTTGTCTCTTTCAGTCGAAATTAAACAAGATGAATATTTACAATGAACGTAGATGAGTGCTCCACCTCCTCTGTGATGTAACCTATCACATCGGTAGGTTCTATAATTTTTGATGCTAACTCTGTCTCCTGGGGTGATGTGCGTCTCGGAGATCAGGCAAATATCAATGTCGTTCTCATACATAAAGTCCTCCAACTCATCTTTCTTTCCTCTCATGTTGTTAGCATTCCACACTAACATCTTGATTGGCCTAAAATTATTATCTTTCCTATCCATGATTGGGTTCATTATTGACCGCGTTGAAACTACTAGCATTTGGCGCTAGGAGCTAAATTTACTTGTAGAATGCCGGAAGCCTTAATAGCCTCAACAAGGTTTTTAAGCCCTTCAAAAATACTTCTAGCTTCATCTAGAGTATTCATTGTTTGCCCGCCAACAGCGGCGGCATAAGATTTATTGATAATTACTCTATCACTGAAATTCTTCAAAGGCGGATTTTGAGTATTTATTTTGGGAAAATTCGGGCAACCCCTGTAGTTGCTTGTATGATCTAATTGGCAATTTATACACTTAGGTTTATCTTCTCTTGGCTTGGGGCAGTCTTTTGAATAATGATCGCCAGCGCATTTCATGCATTTCGGGTCATGCATACATCCTGCCTGGGCATGATGAAATGCCTTGACACCGAAAGCATTGTACCGGCCCTTTCCTTCCTTTGTAAGCTTCTACTTTAACATTCAGCAAACATAATTTAGTTATATTATGTATCCCTCTCGCTTTTTCATTCCTCTTCAAAATAACTAGAAACAGGGGCAGATTAAATTTTTCTCCATTTCTGCGTCTTACTAATTGCGAGACTCGTTCAACTGGGAAACCTCTATCTATCAGTTCATCAGATATCTCTGAGGTTGGCGTGTCGATCGGTAAGCTGCGTATAACAACTTTAACCTTCTTGTTTTCGGGTAAAATAAATGAGTGATATTTCACTCCTTTGGCATTAAGTAATGCAGT